GTTATAGGTCAAGAACCCGAGGCGTCAGCAAGACGACACCGCCAGTCGCAACGACAGCAGAAACCTTTATTAAAACTATTTTTCTTTTTATATTTTAATTCATTATCATTCCAACTTGTAACACGTTCATGTCTACAAAATAAATATTTTTTAAAAACTCCTTGTTGTGGCTGAGAAACATAATTCGCGCACATAATATGCAAGCTCATCCAAATGAGCATCTGTTTAAAGATTTTGCCGTACGCGCTTATTTGTTACAATAATACGGAAAATAAAACAACCGGATTTTCACCATATGAATTACTATTTGGACATAAGCTCGCGCGAGAAAAAACTGCACAAGAAAAACAAAAAGCAAAAGCTCGTTTTGATGAATATGTTTTAAAGGAACAACTATAATACAAAATCGTAGATAAATTTTGTTAAAGAATTTCAAATTAAACGAAAATTAGGTAACAAATTCAATGGCACTATTGAAATTAAATAAATTTACGGTACTTCGGCGACTTAGATACAAATCAAAAAAAGTAAATTTCGATAGGCTAAAGCCGCATTTCGAAACTTAGTCTTGTTACAGACTTTTCCTGTTGCTAGCTGCAACACACGCACAACCCTTCATAGAGCTTGTGAACAATACTGTAGGAATATTTATAGTGAGGAAGCTAGTTTGAAAATCTCAAATAATAATAATAATAATAATAATAATAATAATAATAACCGTCTTTATTATTGACATAAGACATTGACAAAATGGTAAGTGAACATAAGTACATCCAGTGTCAATAAAAGGCGAAGTTCAGTTTGATTAGTACACAGTACCAACAACCTGCTCTTCCACTTAGCCCAGTATCCTCTACGACATATGACATCCGATAAACCGATAATACATACATGTCACTATAAAAGAGGGACATACCTACACGCTAACAAAAAAAAACAATCATTCATTCATTCATGCGGTGCTACTGTTTTTTCAGCAGTTCCTTTTTAAACATGGCTTTGAAGTTATCTATTCTAGAAAATTTTAGTTCCTTCCGGACTGAGTTGTAGACTTTATATATTTGGTATGTGAAGCTCCGTTTGAAGATTGACGTTCTAAACTTGGGTGGCGAAATAAGACCCTTACTTCTTACGTTAATGTTATGAACGTCAGTCCGGTAGGTTATTTTTTGATAAAGATATTGTGGTGTTCTGACTAAAATTAATTTATGATAAAAAACAGCAGAGTGGAGGAGCCTACGATTTTCCATATTTAACCAACCTGCATCTTTCAATTTGTGAGATATTCTATGTCTCCTCTGTATACCAAATGCAAGGCGCAAGCATGAGTTTTGAACCAGTTGAACTTTACGTCGATACAGGTTAGTTAAGTGTGGGCCGTAAAGCACATCAGCGTAGTTGAATAAAGATAATACTAAAGTATCACATAGCATGATCTTAAGTTTTAACGAGAGAAATTTCCGGCTACCGTAAATAAATTTCAACGACAAATATGCTCTCTGCATAATTTTGTTGATGTGATACTCAAATCGAAGATTACTATCAATCACAACACCTAAATTTTTTACATTGTCCATTATTTTGAGAGTTACACCATTTATCTCAATTTTAATAAGATTCTCTATAACATTTTTATTTTGTCTAGGTCCAAAAACAATTACGTGAGACTTTGATGGATTTATTAAAAGACAGTGGCGTGTGGCACATTCTACAAATGAGTTTAGCTCATTATTAATGATCAACGAGAAACGATCCATCAATTGTGGGGGGAAGCTGCAATAGATTTGGGTGTCATCAGCGTAAAAATGCACATTACATAGACTAAGGAAGTGCAATGAAATTAGATGTATAAATTAGAAATAGGAGTGGCCCAAGTATGGACCCTTGGGGTACGCCGGATTTCAAATTTAAAGATAAAGACTGAACTCCATTTAAAACAACTGTTTGTTTCCGCTTAGTGAAGTAGCACTGAAATAAATCTATAGCGTTTTGAGAAAGACCAATATGATGTAAAATAGCAAGCATTAATTGATGGTTTAAAGTGTCAAACGCTCTGCTGAAATCCAGCAAAACAAGAACAGTACACTCGCCACGATCTGTAGCTCTAATTATGTCGTCTGTTACATGAAGTAAAGACGCCGTACAGCTATGATTTTTCCTAAATCCAGACTGTACAATTGGCAGTAATGAAAATTGTGACAAATGATAAGAAAGTTGCTCCTCCATTGCACGCTCAAGTAATTTAGAGAAAAATGGTAAAACTCTAATCCTTCTGAGATCTTTAAGATCTGAAGGATTAGGTTTTTTTGGCAGAACACAGACATTTGCTTGCTTCCACAGATCAGGGAACTGATTATGCGTAAAACAAAAATTAATTATATGAGTTAAATAAGGAATAATATGAGGGCAACATAGTTTAATAAAATTTAAATTAAAACCATCGCAACCACGAGCATTAGTTTTAATACGGCAAATTGCTTCATAAACAAATAAATCATTAACTTCTTTGAATTCAAAATTTGAAGAATTCCTCCTAGTATTTCTGTAGAAATTTATTAAGTTAGGAGAAGGCTGTATATTAGGTATACTGTTAACAAAAAAATTATTAAGTTCATTGACATCATTAAAGGAATTTGGAATGGTGTTATCCTTTTGAGAGACTATTCCATTGTTCCTTAACCTTTTCCACATTTCTGTTGAACTGCAACTTTCTAATATGTATGTATAATAAGATTTTTTTTCTCTGATGATAGCAGCATTAACTAAATTATGCAAGTCCTGATAATATCGCAAATGAGCATTCAGTCCTGTTCTTCTAAATCTAAGCAGCGCCCTGTCCCTGAGATTCTGCATTCGCTTCACCACATCTGTAAGCCATGGGGCTCTAGGTTTAGTAACTCTCATTGATACCAAAGGAAAATGCCTATCAAAAAGGTTTGTAAGCAGGTTTGTAAGAAACGCAACTTTAGAGTCGGCGCTATCTTGGTCAAATAGCATGAAAAACGGGGTTGCAAATAGATCCCTGCAAAAACTGTCTTCATTAAAGTTTTTATATGAGCGAATAGTAATGATTTTAGGTTTATTTCTTACTTCACTAACATTTACCTTACCAAAAATTATAAAATGATCCGACATACCACCACTATCCATGACACCTGTATCAAATACAACCTCATCGCCAGAAATGATAAGATCCATAAACTTGCACATGCACCAGAGATTCTAGTTGGACAGTCTATCATTTGCTTAATCGAGAAAGAGTCTAGAACAGAATAAAATCTTACCACATGTGCTTGATCGACGTTTATCAGGTTAATATTAAAATCTCCAGTGCATATGACTCCATCAACTGTTGGATAAATCGTACTCAAAACACATTCAAATTCATCTAGAAAACTATTAACATACATATTCGGAGGCCTGTATATTAAACCAAAACCGTACGATTTTTCGTTGATTACAATTTTTAACCAAAGCTGTTCACTAAATAAATCACTTGTATCTATTAAGTCGAAAGTGTAACATTCCTTAACATAAACTAACAGACCACCTCCTTTTGTACCCCGATCTTTCCTTAAAATACTAAAACCACTGCAATTAATAGATGCGTCATCAATACTATTTCTCAACCATGTTTCACAAACAAAAAATATATCAAATTTTGCATTGCCAAGAATAATTTTCAATTCATTCAGAGATGGTACGATAGATCTAATATTTAACAGATTTGTTTACAAAATTTGATTAAAACAAAGTCCATCTTATCAGCGTTTCTTGCCAGAGTTAAACTAATGAAGCAAAATATTGGACGCGGCGAATTTTCTCAGTTCACCAATTTGTCACAGACAAGCTGCCAGGAAGACGACGTTTCAACTTACGTTCAACATTTAAATGTCCTCTATTCAGATTTTGAATCTAAGTTTGAGGATATTTTGACTATGGTAATACCACGGATATCAGCAATTCTGGCTGCAAAACAACATACCCGTTACTTATCCCGTATTATGGAATATAGCGAGGAAATTTTTAATTTCCTTTCCATCGTCATACCTAGTGGAAAGGGGGTTCAGTGCTGTTACCAATCTCCTAACGAAAAAAAGAAACGGACTGAACATCATTAGCCGAGGAGATTTAAGATTAACTCTTACAAAATTGACGCCAAATGTTGATAATTTATTATTAAAGCATCAGGTTCATCCTTCTCACCTTCTCACTAAAAATATTGACTTATTGCTTATGTTATTTTATTTCGACTTTATTTTATGTTTATTGGTGTCTGACCAATAAATGCCCGCATTGGGAATAAGTTCTCGCATTGATTTTTTTAGAAAATATTTTTTTTTAATTATTCTGAAAATTCAAGAATAGGCACACACTAAAATTCGTTAATTTTTTGCCTATTTTTAGATAACTTAAACGTATAAGAAGCGGAATTTAATCAAACTAACAGTGAAATTATTGTAGAACATACGTTTATGTTATAATTAATAAACGAACTCGCTTATTGTACTATTTTAAGTAAAATACTTTTTTTTATTATTTTTCAATTTTTTTTATTTAATCCCTCTTATTTTTTTTTCAATGCGGGCACTTATTCCCAATGCGGGCGCTTATTGGTCAGACTCCTGTTTATTTAATCTTACGTATATTTTACATAACAGATACAAAATTTTATTTTGAGTAGTTTTAATTTAAATTCAATTAATAAATGTATAAATTAACATGTGTTTTTACTTTAAGTTTTTAACACTAAACTTCACTACACTTAGAAATTTACAGGAAATCAATATCAGGTAAGTAGGGGGTCTACCCAACACGGAAAAACATGGCAAGGGGTCTACGACACAAAAAAGTTTGGGGAACTCTGGTCTAGAATATCAAAAAATCTGTGAAATAACATTTTACCCTACGATACATACACGATTTATATAATTCTTCTTCTAATGTGTAGTGTCGCCTCCTTTAGACCAAAATGAATTGCAACGTGATTGTGAACTTACCTACAGTCACTGCTGTCACACTGAGCATGACATGTTCTGTGACAACAGTGGTGCGTATTACAGGGCATGTAGTTGGAGCAACACGAGCTGCAACATGATTGGCAGCTGTTCTGGCATTGATTGTAGCTGCAGGAGTCGCATTGACACTGTTCGCAATCCTCTTCACATTCGATGGTGCGTTTTTGGCGACTGCGAACGCAGCCCAAGTAGCTGCGGTAGTCTGTGGAACCACAGGCTCTGGTGTTTTCAATGCATTTTTGATGTGTGATAAATTTTGTGGCTGTCATGTGTATGAGCATGAGTAGGAAGATCAGCTCCACATACCAATGAATCTGCAAAATGTAAGATGACAATAATATGCTAATTTAAGCTTCCAGTTCAGGATGATAACTGTCGAAGAAGCGCACACCATTTTGCATAGCTTACAATCAGATGCTTTTGGTGCTGATGATATTAAAGCAAAAATGCTCAAATTCTGCAGCCCTTTCATAGAATATATATATAGCATATTATCCACTATTGTATAGAGAGGTCTTATTTTCCAATTGTATGGAAATCTGCTATTGGTATCCCTAGCCCTAAAATAAATAATCCTGCGGATTTCTCCGATCTTAGGCTTATATCACTTCTACCAGCTGTTTCAAAATTTTTGAAAAACATCTATATATACAAATTTATGAATACTTTTCAGTCCATGGTCTACTTCCTGACTGCCAGTCTGGGTTCAGACCTGGAAGAATTACTGAAACGTCACTAGCTACGATAACCACAGATATTAATGGCGTATGATCAAGGTTTGTCTAGCGCTCTCGTTCTTTTGGATTTTTCCAAGGCTTTTGACACCATCAATCATGAATTGTTGTGCTCAAAGGTCAAATACTATGGTTTTACTAACCCCTCTCTGTTTTTAATATGGAGCTACTTACTTAGACGCTCCCAGAAAATTCATATTAATGGTTCTCATTCGGCAAGCACAGATATTCTGTCAGGGGTGCCACAAGGATCCATACTTGAACCCTTGTTATACATAATATACACAGCAGAAATCCTAAGATAGATACAAAACGTCAAGGTACAATCGTACGCTGACGATATTCAAGTTTACTTTAGCTTTTCCATGAAAGACAGAGCTGCAGCAGAACGAACTCTGAATGAAGAGCTTCAATCGATCAACACATTATCAGAGCAGCACAACCTAAAGCTCAACTCTAAGAAGACAAAAGTAATACCTTTTGGCAATCAAAATAATATAAATATTTTAAAGGACACCCTTTTGTTGAAAATCACAAGCGAAGTGCTTAGTTTCTGTGATTTTTCTCGTAATTTAGGCTTAACTGTTGATCTAAGCCTTCGTTTCTCACTCCATATTCAAACGTTTGTAAATAAAGCATTTAGTTCCCTTAAAATCATTTATAGCAGTCGACATTTCCTAAGTAAAAATCTAAATAAAAATGTATGTGAGACCTTGGTGCTTAGTAATTTCAACTATTGTAGCTTTATTTATGGGCCATGCTTGACTAGTGCTGACATAACGAAAATACAACGGGTTCAACATAGCTGCTGTAGGCTAGTATACGGAATTAGGAAGTATGACCCCATATCACACAAAATCAGACAGTGTGAATGGCTTAGCATGAAAAATAGGAGACTCCTTCACTAATTTTACGCATAAACTGGTCAACACTTCAAATCCTCCATTTCTGGTCAAAGGTTTCATACCTCGTAAAGATACTCAAAATATAAGATCAAAATTGAACTACACTGTTCCGCAGGATAATCCATGTTTCAAAGATCGTTCATATATAATGCTATCAGGATATATATATATATATATATATATATATATATATATATATATATATCCTAAGTGACATATAAATCCAAACACCCAGTTTAAATGGTTTTATTTTAATAAAAGTTGGTGAATGTATTTATCTTACTGTAAATAACAAGTGAAAAATTTTTCAGCCTTATCAGTTGGACATTCCGGTTTTTATACTGTTTTTTTTTAATTCACTAACGCTCTAAAAATGAATATTTCAGTCGCAGTAAAGAATCAACGTTGGCGGATTTTGGTTCTTGACATCCTTTACGATCGGTTACGATGCCTAGAGTACGGAGACCTGTACGATTTCGTCAACTTAGTGAGTTTGATAGGGGCCGTATAGTGGGACTTCGGGAAGCTGGACTTTCTTTTCGGGCAATTGCAGTTAGAGTGCAAAGAAGTGTAGACACTGTGGTTAGGTGTTGCCAGGCATGGCTTCGAGAAGGCCGTACGCAAAGAGCAAGGGGCACTGGACGCCGCCGTAGAACAACAGACCGTGAAGATCGCCGCCTAAGATTATTGGCCTTAAGGGACCGTTTCTCCACTACCAGGTCCATTGCAAATGAATGGTTTGCAGAACACGGAAGACCTATTGGCATGCGAAGTGTTTACCGATGAATGAGAAGTTTTGGCTTGTTTTCATACCGGCCACACTGGGTCCTCCCTTTAACTCGAGAACACCGACGTAATCGCCTTGAGTGGTGCAGACAACGGTCACTCTGGGATCAGGAATGGAACAGTATTGTCTTTAATGACGAGTCTCGATTTTGTTTAGGCATGCACGATGGTCGTGCCAGGGTTAGAAGGCGACGTGGTGAAAGGAGGAATCCACAGTTTTTTGTTGAAAGACATGTTCATCACACTGTTGGAGTTATGGTTTGGGGTGCTATAGCTTATGGTTCCAGGTCACCTTTAATCTTCATCAGAGGTGACATGAACGCGCAGCGTTATATCCACGAAGTTCTAGAACCCCATCTTTTACCCTATCTTGACACCCTGGCAGATCCAACTTTCCAACAATATAATGCCCGACCACATATTGCAAGAGTCACAATAGACTTCTTTCAACATAATGATGTCACATTGTTACCATGGCCACCAAGATCTCCCGACTTATCCCCAATTGAGCACGTGTGGGATATGATGGGTAGGAGATTGCTCAATTTGCAACGTCCTCCTCAGACGCTAGAAGCACTTCGAGAGGAGTTGGTGGTTGCCTGGAATGAAATACCACAGGAGAACATTGACCACCTGATCAGAAGCATGCCTAGGCGCGTTGGAGAATGCATAGCACATCAGGGTGCATCCACACATTATTAAAGGTCAAAGGGCTTTAAACAGTGCAATCATTTTGAAATTTGTATCATTTACTTATTATGCTTCATTAAGTACTTATACAAAATTTTATTAAAATAAAACCATTTAAACTGGGTGTACAGATTTATATGCCACTTAGTATAGTTATAATCAGCTGCGCCACAAGAATTCAAGCTTCTTAATATGAACAAGTTCAAATTCCAACTAAAACGTTATTTGTTTGATATGCAGTAGGATCAATGATGCATTGTTGAATATTCAACTTCTTATTTATTTATTATTGTGTTACTCTTGCATACATATACAGGGTGGCGCATCGAAAACGAAACAGACGCATTTACTGGCAGCTCAGTTTTTTTTTTGGAAAAACGCTCAGACCCGTCGATTTTGTTTTCGAGGGGGACACAAGTTTTTGCAAAAAATCACGTTAACACGTGCAGCCCCCTGGGCGGGGGTGACACCAACCCTAAAATCTTAAATGGAAAGGGGGTCGAGTGATACCTTATTTTAAAGGTCTTTCAATTTCCTTTATAACGATGTAAAATACATGAGCTTCAGTTCAGTAGATTTCAAGATTTATTGATTTAAAGCTTAAAGTAGACTTTAATATATAGATTAGTTTGTACTGCTTTCAGAAGAAATTTGACTAAAAGAATTTACTCAATAAGTTAATGCTTTTCTTCACTACGGCCATGGTTTGTTTATCATTTTGTTGTTGAAAATAGCTATTGGAGCGTCTTTTTGTGGCAAAAAAGTTATTTCTTGGAGAAAGATAAGGAAATATCTCGTACTTATTTTAAATAGGAATTTAGTACATAGTTAGCGATTGATTTGACCAAACTTTGTTGCTAAAATAACTTGTAACGCTTTATTACTTAAATTAACCATGGTATATTCCACAGCAGAAAGAGTTGAAATTATCGAAATATTTTTCGGAAATAATCAGTACGCTAATAGAACAGCAGAAATATTTAATGAGGGACATGAGAACAGTAACGTGCATCGAAAATATGTTCTAGAACTTGTAGCTAAAGTTCGGGAAACTGGGTCAATCGCCAATAAAAAACGCAACATTGAAAATTCCATAAGGAACGAAGCAATAGAAGTGGGGGTTTTAGGGCAAGTTTATGTAGATCCTACGTTAAGTACCCGCAAATTGGAGACTGTGTGTGGTATTAGTCGACGTACTGTCCATAGTTTTCATCCGTATAAAATTCACCTGGTACAAGAACTTAATGAAGACGATTTTGATCGGCAATTACAATTTTGTGAAGATATGAGTGTACGAATTATAAACGATGAACATTTTCTATTCAACACTTGCTTTTCCGACGAATGTTCCTTTTTCTTAAATGGCGTAGTAAATCGTCATAACTGCCGATATTGGTCCGATTCTAATACCTGAATTTATCATGAGGTTCATACACAGCAGCCACAAAAATGAAATGTTTGGGCTGGTATTTTTGGCGATCATTTTGTTGGTCCTTTTTTCTTGCCTGGAAATTTGGCCATTGAAATGTATTTGGAATTACTGGGAGACGCCATAGATCCTGCATTAACAGCCATAATTGAAAATCAGAATGATCGGCGGTACATTGCGAATAGGTTGATGTTCCAACAGGATGGTGCCCCACCACATTAAGCATTACGTGTTCAACAATATTTAGATCAGACATTTCCAGATGGATGGATTGGTAGAAGAGGTGCCATTGAATGGCCCCCAAGATCGTCAGATTTATCACCTTTGGATTTCTTTATGTGGGGTCATTTAAAAAGCAAAATCTATGCTACTCAGCCAACATCATTAGAAGACCTGCGACAAAGAATTGTGAATGAGTGCCTTCAAATTACTCCTGAAATATTGCAAAATGTGCGGAAACGTTTTGAGCAAAATCTTTATTATTGCATGGAGAGTCATGGTGGCCATTTTCAACATTTACTTGCCTAACGGGTCAGTTCATTCTTCATTTTTAAGTTACTTTGCTGCCAAATGTATTGATCTCCAGTAATGATGATGTATTAGTTTTATTTGAGCTTTAAATCAATAAATCTTCAAAACTAGTGAACTGAAGTACATTAATTTTATATCATTATAAAGGGAATTGAAAGATCTTTAAAATAAGGTATCACTCGACCCCCCTTTCCATTTAGGGGGCTGCACGTGCTAACGTGATTTTTTGCCAAACTTGT